ATATTAACACTAAGTGGTCTATAGTATTCTGCTATTGTAAAGCCACAGTCAGTTTTACCTTGATTAACGTAATAAACATAAATCCTCCCCCAGGTGTATTTCCTACTAAAACTTTAACTATTGTATGATTTTTATTATCTAATTACATAATTTTGTGCATAAATAATTAAGATAGTTTATTAACTTTGTACTCTACACAATCAATGATACATTTTATAGTAGGGAGCTTTTCCTGCATTTATTAGGAAATTTTCTTCCTAACTCACTCCATACAAGGCCATATGCAGATGTCTTATACATAAAATATATCCATGTATTTACAGTATTTGAAACTGTTCTTTCTGAAATATTGTATAAAAATAAATAAAAACAAAGATCAAAGTTCCCGTATAAACAAGTTAATGTTAAAATAAATAAATATATTTATGCATCAAGCGGCTTTAATACTCTTGGTCGTCCGGTAGATAAAGTGTTTTTGTTTATTGGTTGTTATAAAAAATTGTTTTTTCCATTTTTTTCCAGGAACTAAAAATGCTTAAACAGCTTGGTTATTGATGGAAATCCAGTATAAACTATACTGGATAAATGAATCTACTAATTTACCTTCATCAACATTTACTTCCTCTAGTGGCGCTGACAATAATGTCGATAAAGAGATATCTACTTCATTTTGTGGCGATGAAAATTGTGCTGATGCAGACTAATCGTCATCGACATTTTTAAACAAACATTGTCTGAAATTTTGTGGTTTTCTGGATGTATCTGACACTGAAAATTTATTTCATGAGTGCAATATTGTCCTAAAAACTTTTATAAGTTTTATTTGTGTACCAAATGGGGTTTTATGGACCATTTCTTGTAAGAAATGCTTTTGACATAATCAAGTAGATTTGTGGTTTTTAAATTATCTTTCTTTTCTTGTCTTTTTATTAAGTTACACCAAATATTTCTTTTTACAGTTAAAAATGTGAAAAATATAATATTTGTTGGAACTCTAATTCCATTTACATTATCTATCATAGCTATTTGAAAAACATTTATAAAAAGCACATTGCAACCCAGACAATATCGCCATTTTTGAACATCGTCGATTTGTTTTCATTGTTACAAACACTGCCTCGTTTTCATGGAATTCTTTATGAAAAGGTCTATTGAAAAATTTAATTCAAGGCTTTACCGAGTTTTAAGTGATTTTTAAGGTACGGGCCTGGTTGCTTATAAAATGGTATTCAACTTTGAATCCTTATATTCAAATTTTTTAAGGGTCGTCCATAAATTACGCCACGCTCTAAGGAGGTTAGGGGTTGTGACTTTGTGACAACTCATACAGGATTTGTTACTAAAGTGTTATGATGTTGTGACAAGGAGGGATGTGGGTGGTGATCAAAAACGGTCAAAAATTGCGTGACGTAATTTATGGACGACCCCTTATATGTTCTAGGAAGGAACGGGGGATACATATCGCCCCCGTTCTCCGCTTTAACCTGGTTCCGTCACTGTTTAGATGTTTTGTTTTAATTTTAATTTTTTATTTCTTTTAAAGTTAAATAAAGGTTAGTCGAACACCGGTTAGCTTGAACTTTTGTTTTCTCGAACAACAACAATTGTTTTACTTTGCTTCAATCAAAGAGTTGTTTCGTTGAACCATTTTCCCTGTTTCTTTAAGGGTTCAAGGTAACGGGATTTTATTTTACTATTTTTTATTTTCACTATGTCTTACCCGACCAAGCACCAGAACCCGACACGGATTATTCAGTCATGACTATTTTGAATATGGATATGGACTTAACATTAAGTTTCGAATATATAACAAATATATAAAGGATATATAAAGGATTTGAAAAAACTCATTGGAGTTATTTATATATATAATAAATTATTTTCAATTACTTTCATTGGAGTTATTTATATATATTAAAAATTATTTTGTATACATATATATATATATATATATATATATATATATATATATATATATATATATATATATACATATATATATATATATATATATATATATATATATATATATATATATATATATATATATATATATATATATATATATACTATATATATATATATATATATATATATATATATATATATATATATATATATATATATATATATATATATATATATATATATATATATATATATATATATATATATATATATATATATATATATATATATATATATATAGGTTCTTAAGAGATAAGTTTGCCAGCTCATGGTAGTCATCTCTTTTCTTACTAGTTTAAAATAGTTACTTTATTAAATATATTTATTGAATGTCCCCTTTAAATTTAGATGCTATTATTGTAATAAAAAAAAATGCAGTTAAAAAAATTGACTAAAAACAATTGTTTAGTGTTTTAGTAAATATTTGTTTACAATTGATTTAAATTAATCTTTGAGTTTTTAAAACCTTCTATTTTTATTATCATCATAAGTTGGTTATTAGCTTCAATGGCTTAAGCTTTCAGCCAAGTTCCACAAAAAGAGTTCGATTCAAAACTGTTCAGCTAGCAACTTTTAGTATTAATACAATACCATTGTTTTTGAAAGAATTTAAAAAGGTGGTTTTTAAAACCAACAGCCTTTTCAAAATGCTTGATGCGGACCTTGTTGACGTGACCACGGCAGGCCAACAAGGATTCGCTAAGGTTGGATCTCAACCTTAAAAGTACATAGTGTTTTTAAATTCTATATTTACTACAGTCAATTAATAGTCAAAACTTCTGCATCCTTACATAACTATTATGGGACTTTGAAAATTCAAACAACACATTTAGTAATAAGGTTTTAAAAATATTTTCTAATTATTTCTTTATCTTTATAGCTCCACACAGTTTGCATGTATTGCTGCTAGCAAAACCGTTTTGAACGGGACGGGGAAAGAGGTGTAGGGAGTATATCTACCCCCATACCGCAAAGCTGTTATATATACGCATTTGGGTTGGCACTTTTGTACATTTAACATTTGAGTTAGCAAGTTTTTTAGTATAGCTGGCAAACGTCAAATATCGAGGAAATTTTCTTTTGTGTGTGTTTCTAGTTGGCAAAATACACATACAACAATCCCTCATGAGAAACCTCTTCGGGACAGCCTTGGCTGCGAATAATATTAAATGCAGAATAAACTGGTTTAGGCCAGTGATGGAATCAATATTTGTTGCACCTTGCACACGAACCTTGCCATCAAAATATACAAATCTTGTCCTAAACTTTGTCATCGTGTTCAAGTATCAAATTGTTTATTATTTTTCCATCAAAATGTAATTTAAGCATACCAATCTTGTGGTTGATGTTGTAGCGCAATAACATTTTTAACTTTTCGAAACCGCCATTAAGTACCTTATTTTTTATTCTATACACTTAAATGTGAAAAAAGCAGCTTATCTAGATTAACTTTACCTTCAATTATCAACTTTGTTAGAGTAGTAGTAATATTATTAACAGATATGTTGGCTCCCAGAACTGTTTTTAATGTGTTATAAATGTTGTCTTTGCTAATTTCATATGTTTAGATTGAGCATTTTGATGGTTATTTTTAGTTTTTTTTTTTTGAGCATTATTTTTCCCTTTCTGCGACAGATCTTTGGCTTGTCTTGTGTTGCGAATTCTTCAGATTTATAAACTTTTTGATATGCCTTGATATTCATGATCAGTATATTAGCACTGATAACTTAAAATCAAGATTTAAGCCAAGTAAACATGAGGGATCTTAGAATGTATTCTTCTAGAGACTGCTCTGTTACTGTGGTACATACCATTTTATTTAAAAAACAAAAGATATATTTATAATTAGTTAGCTTTTTAAAATAGTTATCATTTAAACCATAGCTGTAAATTGAAAATCGTAGCTTACTACAATTTATATTTCAGAACAAATATCGAACCTGAAACCAACACCAAGCTGGTTAGATATCAGTGATAAAATTTCTATGTTCTCTGGCTTCTTTTTCGAGAAAAAATAGAAACGTTTTTAATAAGAAATAATATAATTGCATCATAATTAAAAATAGCTAATAACCCAGCTGGGATTTGGTTCAGAAAAAACGTCATTTTAACGTTCAAAAGACGTTCTGAACGTTGTGAAGACGTTTAAAAAACGTCTTTTTTAGATTAAATGTTGGCTGTAAAGGGTGAATTGCAACTAGTAAAAATAATCCACAATCGGTACAGAGCTGGCCTAAAGCCTGAAAATAAACCTACAATGATAATTTTTGGTATAAGTCTTCTAAATAACATATTATAATATTCATTTGTTAAAATAGTATTTAGTTTTGATTTTATTTTCCCAGCATTCCAAGCTTATTAAAAAAAAGTTGTTTTTGAAAACTTGATGACACCAGCACGAGGTAAACAAATAATTAAAAAAAGAAAATAAAAAAGAAAAATGTTTATGTTTCTTAAAATAGATCGCAAAAAACTGCCCATTTTTGAGCATTTATTACAGAAATAAACCATCTATTAATAGTTAACCCGTCAATATTTTTAAAATTAGTCTGTAAAACCTATCGTAGTATTTGCCGACGCAATAATATATTTTCAAAATTCTCATGCCAAAATATTTTGACTGAAACCTTTTCAAACGCAGCTATTAAACCAGTTATGTAGATAAAGCATACAAAAAGCGAATGTCAATATATTACATAAATATAATTTTTTTAATAAAAATAAGAAGAAAGAAATGAATCACATTTTTTATTCTTGGGGGTTGGTGTGTTTACTTTAAAAAATTAATGCATTCCTCAAGTTTTTTTCTTTAGCTGTGTATACAAATGAAAAATTTTTTGAAACAATAACCAAAAATAAGAATAAAAAAAATAGTTTATTGAAAAATAAAAAAAATAGAATATTCAAATTATAATTGTTTTTTTTTCCTTTTTGATGATGGGAAAACAAAAAAAAAATTTTTTTTTTCGAAATTATTTGATATCGTTTACAAAGTCAATAAACCAACGAAAAAAAGAAACCAGACATACAAAGAAAACAAGTTGAACAATTTTACTAACAAAACATTACCTAAGTTTATTTACATGTTAAAAACCTTTACTAATTAAATAAACGTTATCATAAATAGAGATGTTTTTCGGATCTTTAGCCTATGGATTTTTTTTAATTAAACTCGGTCAGTGTTTTGTTATTAGATTATAATTGTTACTAAGAACATAATTAAACTTATGTTAATAGAGAAATTGTAAGTTAATAAAGTTAACAAAATGTGTAATACTGTGTAAAAAAGATTAATTTCATTTAGTATCGTCAAACATTTTAAGTCAAAATAACGTAGTCAATCTTTCGGAAGGAAAATCAAAATTCTGTATATGCAATGTTGGCAATACCACCGTAACACAGGTTAATAAACAGTTTTCAAGTATTGTTGTCAGTCGTTACTTTTTGCTTTATTTATTGTCATTGTAATTGTTGCTTTAGAATTAATATATTTTTAAAAAATTATTTTGACTGTTTCTGTTGGAATCTATTTGATTATGTGCTTTCTTTAGCTTTTTTTCCTTCTTTTTTTTCATTTTCTTTTTCATTCCATACGAAATCTTCTAAATATCGAACTTTTCTAAAGTTAAATTTTATAATGTTAATATATGTAATTAAAATTAATGACTTTAATGACCAACCAAAAATATTAATTTTTCTTTAATGTAAAAACTGGTACATTAATTATTTTATAAGTCGATTGCATGTTTTAAAATAGAGAAATTTTAATATATAAAAATTGAAAAGCATTGTAAGTGAACAATAACAATGGTAATTTTATGTTTTTTTTATTTAATTTTGTAACAATATTTACTCATAGTCTTAGTAATAGTGCTTGAAGTGGGACGGAATGTGCTGGAATGCCATCCCGTCACTTTTTTATAAAGTATAAACCATCCGCCATCCTTTTAAAAATCTCTCTATATAGTAATGATTAGTCGGGATGGTATTTTTAATTTACCGAATACCATCTTATTAGTTTTTTTTCCTCCACTTCGAGCACTGCTCATATTAATGTTATACTGCTATTATAAAAATAGTTTTTTTTTAAAACTTCTCGATTTTTTTATTAAATATTTTGCATTTCATGGATCTCTGTGAAATTGTTATTCCACGGTCTTTGATATATTTTTTCATCTCTTTTGTATCCTGATGAAACCATTTCCCATGTTGTCTACTACAATAATTTTTAAGAAAATTTTTAAAAGTTATGATTGTTGTGCAGTGGTCATTTAACCTAATCAGACATTATTGGTTACAAAAACTTTGAATTTTGGTTTTTTCACATCGCCCAAAAGCGTAGTCACAACTTTTTAAAATGAGGCCCGAGCCCTTTTCAAGCTTTTTTTAAGCCTTTACTTTTTGTTTACTTATTATTGCCGTAATGCTTAAATGGAACATTGCTTCAAAAACTAATTTTACCATATTTAGGAAAAAGTTTAACAAATAGGATCAAAAAAGTATAATACAAAATGTGTTTTTTTTTTCATGCTTTTCAAAATGATTGTGGTTTAGTTTTTATGGGATAACATTACATCCCGTACTTGGCATCCTATGATTATTTTCCCCTACATATTTACTAGCCAAGCAGCAGGAAAAATGAGTTGTAACCAGAAACAAAAACAAAAAACAAAAAAACAAACATACAAAAAATTTATTAAAGTAATTTTTTTGCTACCTAGTATTACAAGTTTAAATTTTTTTATTTAAATGTTTTTGTTAAAAATCCTAAAATACTTAAGTATTTGAAGGTTTAAATATTTAAGTTTGTATAAGTCTTTGTGACAAGTAAGTCTTTGTGATAAGTCTTTGTGATAAGTATTTGTGACAAGTAAGTCTTTGTGATAAGTCTTTGTGACAAGTACTTGTCACAAATAGAATATACTGTATAAGGAACCCTACATTGGACTTTATTACTGATTTCTACCCTAAAATATGCAAAGTTTATTTTTTTTCTAAAAGTTGGTAATTTTTATTTATTTTAATCAAATATTTAGTTTATTTTGATCAAGTTGCTAAATATATAAAAAAGTAACAATTGGTCTTTGAGTAAGAATTAAAAGCAAACTTTAAAAATTGCGATGAACGTTTACACCGGAAGAAAATAAACAGCTGCGTCATTTGTTAGAACTACCGGCCTAATAACAATAATAAAATTAATAAAATAAATTGATAAAATCAATTATTGCCAACCCAGTGACAATAAAAATATTTGGCAATCTTATAACATTAAATTAAAGAAAAACCATTTACAAATCTCATGACGACTGAATTATTTTTTGAAATAAGCACACTAAAAACACAGAATATTATTATTTTTCTAATTATTGAATATATTTTATTTGTTGTTGTTGCTCCATGTTTGTAACCTCAATCGTAACATTATTTTTCTTTTAGAAAAAACAAATCAATTTTACAAACAAGGATGTTAGCGTTATTATTGGAGTAATTTTATCTATTTATCTTGTAGGATTTGTATTCATAGTAAGTGTTTTAAATTAAAAAAATTTTTTTTTACATTTTTTTATATTTTTTGTAGCTAATAAAAGTGTGCAGACATAACTTTAAAAACATAAGTTAAAACTAGAAATAAAAATAATAAATAATAAATTAAAACTAGAAGTACACTAAAACATCATTAGATGGAATTTGAAACCTGTCAATAAATTTTAAATTTGTTTATGAAATGTAATAAGGTAAGCTCAGTAACTTATTCTTTTCACATTTGATGGTGGAGGTTAAATAAAGGAACAAGGTTTTAGAAATTTTGTTGTTCCCATGCTCTGATTAATCGATTTTTTTTTGATTAATTAGAGTATGGGACTCAATTGACAAACACGGACCAAAGTTTTACATTTTGACAAATATTATCAGCTTATCTTATATTATCAGATTTGTTATAATAAATGAATTAATAATTTTCTTCTTTAAAACATAAAGCAGTAGATGTAAAACAGGGGGTTTGAACTCACTCAGGACACAACTGTGAAAGTCTCTTTTAAAATATTTTTACCCTTTTTTTAATACCCGATCATTAGTCTTCTTTATGTAGTCAAAAAACGTTTTTTAGTACCGTAATTAAAACAGGTGCGGTGTAGTATGAGATTTTTCCTAACAATTTTTTTTTTACTCCCCAGTAAAAGTCTCATATTAAATTTTTACTCTCATTTTCAATATAGTTAAGTGAATTTACAATTTAATCGAATTCTTTTCAGTATAGTTAAGTGAATTTACAAGTTATTCGAATTCTTTTATTTGAAATTAGAATGACTTTATCAGCACATGATGTCTAAACAAGGACTGTATTTATTTAAAATATTATTCAAATTTGGACAAGCGATTGTGATTTTAAGATTTTTTTTAAAAAAAAAAGAATCTTCAATTTAGGTTTTTTCGCTTCAAATATTTATATTTTATGAAATCTCAAAGTTTATCATTTTAATTTTTTTGTCTTGTTGTAATTCGCACACCTGATCATTTAACGGAAATATGTCGTAATCAACGAACAATATTTTAAAATTGCCTAAACTACATCGAGTATGGAGATATTTATAAAAAAATATATTTACTCCCATATATTATTTTGCGGCGAAATGTATATTACTTTGTTGTATTTTGACAATATTTTTCAACGTTTTAAACAATGTGGCTTTTTGAAAAGCAGTAAAGAAGTGATTCCGTTTAATATGAACATTATTTAAAAATTTTGTAGTAATTAAATCAATTGACAAAATGTTAGCCATTATTAATTAACAAAACATCGCCTTTGGAAGCCTTTACCTTACTCTTTGTTTGAATTCCATAGAACAACCATATATAAATATATATAAATAAACTATATTAACTACTTCTTTAGACCAGTCTATTTTATCAAACTGGCAATGAAGATGAACACAAGTGAACTTTTCTAAAATTTTCTAACCGTATGATACACGAGATACACGAGGAAATTATTAGGTATTTAAATATTGCATAAAGATTTATTTATTGAGATGAATGATAGTTTAAATAATAAATTCCTTGAAGATGTGACATAAGGAACGGACAAGGATATAATAGGATGTACTTTATTTATATATAGATATTTATATATATCCATACAAATATACAGTAAATATGAAGCGAACAAAAAAATGCAATAGTTGAAATAAAACAACAATATTTAAAATTTGCGAAATAAATACACTAGATTTTTAACTGTTAATTACAAAATCAAAGTAGATTCCAGTTAAGTTGTATAGACCCAGCAAACATACTATATTGGAATTTCAGTGGATCTATATAGGGATTTTGAGCGGACCGCTCTAGTTCTGCTTATCAATTTTTGCTAGGGAATTATTGAACAATCTGTAAGCCGTAAAGCCGTAAACTGCATGGGTAGGCCATAAATCCATTTTTGCAATTAACACAATAGTTGCGTAGATATCAAACTAGTAATACAACAAAAATCTATTAGAGAAAGACAACCTCACGATATATAAAGAAAAACGCACCCTATAGCCTAGAAATCTCTATCAACCTTTTCACTTCAAAAAAGTTTTCACTTCTGTGAAAGGTCAAACTGATTTAACAGGTTTTTTTAAAGTTACATCGAAACCAGAAATAATAATACGTTCTTCTTGACTACAAAAACCAATACCTCTTTCTAGAGCTTTTTTAAAATTTGAGGAACCACTTAAATTAAAAGAAATACCTCATCAAAAAGATTTTCAAGACTTTTATTTAAGACAAATAGTCTTTCAAACGATGATAATTTACTAGATTTTTGAGATTCAAAAAGGAACTAATCAACTTGCAAACTATACAGCTGGTCACACACTTGAGTCTGACGCTATTTTTTTTATAAACGAGATGACACAAAAAATTAATGAACTAATAGAAAGTAAAATCAAGAAAGATAGACAAAAGGTTACACTGATTTCTGTAGCTAAGATGGAAAAAGCAATACTTAATATTAAAAATGTTTATGATTAAGGTAAGTCTTTTAAAACTATAAAACAGACTGTCTAGCTTTATTTGGATGTTACAGTTATTCTTAATAAAAATAACAATAATTATATGTTAGAGACACCTTCAACGAAAATTAAAAAACTACTTGAAAAGTTCATTAACGATGGTTCTGGTTGGCGCTTGAGCCGCTGCAAATAACTACACATTGGATTTGCAAAATATAATCCATTCTGAGGCATTAATTATATTAAAACACCTAGCTACATCCCAAAGTGTTGTTTTGTAAAAGTAAAAATTGTGGACAACTGATGTTTTAAGTTGGCTATCCTTAGCGGAATATATCCAGTTAAAGAAAATAGTGAACGTTCATTAAAGTATAGCCAATACTTCAGAATAAAGCTAATTTTTAAAGATATTGAATTTGTTGTTAAAGTTACTGAAATTAAAAGGTTTAAGCGACAAAGTCAAACTTTTAGTTTACGTTTTTGTATGAGATAAGAGATTATATCCCATTTATACCAGCAATCGAAAAAATAAGATTGAAATATACCTTTTACTTATTCAAGATGAAAAATCTCATTATATAAGAAATTAAAATCTAGTTAGGATGCTTTACTATACGAGTAAGAAAAAGGCAGTAAAGTACTAATGCCGCAGATATCTTCACATATTTAGTAGCGCTGGTTTGATGAAAACTTATCTTGAGAAATGCCTTTGAATTGGAGAAAAGGCTCAGCACACAGTGATGCCGCTGAAAGGTAAAGATGATATTTGCAAACTTACAAATTATCACAAGTGCCATACATTATTTATCTATTCAAGTGCCATACATTATTTATCCTGACTTTGAAGTATTAAATGAAAAAGATGCTTTTGATGAAAATAATGTAGAGGGGGCTCTTAATGATCCAACTAAAAGCTCTACTTGAAAAATTGCGGAGCAACTACCTTGCAGCTATTACTATGTAAAATTTTGGAGCAACTTATTTACTGAAGCTTTGACTTTCTATTGTGGTGAAAACGCCTGGAGCGCTTGCCTTGCCTTCAAACTGAGTTGGAAAAAATGAGCGAGGTTTTTAGAAATCCGGAAGACATGGTTATGATTGATGAACCTCAAGAAGCTTTTTACAGTAAACTAACAAGAAGTTGAATTGCTATCAAGGATAACCAACACGCGAAAAATGTCTGAAACGATTTCAGCTGCAAGACTTTTGGTGATAACCACGGTATTTATCTTAAGACTAATGTAAAACTGTTAGTTTACGTTTTTGAAAAATCGAGAACTACTAGTATGACTTTTTACTTTTTTATTCAGCTTACTACTTTAGCGCTCCTGGGTATATTTTGATTCTTTGCTGAAGAAAACTAGATTTCAGCTACTTACTGATACCAAGCTGATACTTAAGCTACTTACTGATACCAACGTGCATAACTTTATTAAAAAGGAATCCGCGGCGGTATCTCGATGGTGAGTAAACATTTTGAAAGAAAACATTTCGGACTGTCTAGATTTTGACGAAAGCAAACCGAAAAGTTATATATCATACATCCACTACCATGCCAGGGTTTCAAATGGTGTGCGTCATCGATCAAAGAATGAAAATGCGAGTCATCAAAATCTACAAAGCTATCAAATTTAGGCAAAAACAGTGGGTGGCTCCCTATATTCAGATGAATATTGATTTAACAGTTAAAACTAATTCAGGTTTTGAAAAGGATTTCTTCAAATTTATGAATAATGCAGTACTTGGCAAAATTATGGAAAATGTGAGAAAACGCACAAGTTGATCTTGTCCGTGGAAGCGAACAAGATCGAATAAGAAAACTTATTGCTAGCCGATCTACAAAGCTATCAAATTTAGGCAAGAACAGTGGGTGGCTCCCTATATTCAGATGAATATTGATTTAACAGTTAAAACTAATTCAGGTTTTGAAAAGGATTTCTTCAAATTTATGAATAATGCAGTACTTGGCAAAATTATGGAAAATATGAGAAAACGCACAAGTTGACCTTGTCCGTGGAAGCGAACAAGATCGAATAAGAAAACTTATTGCTAGCCGAGCTTATCTATCACATAAAATATTTGATTGTAATCTTTCTGTTATTCACAGCACGGAAACTATACTAAAGTTGATTTGGCTGATATATGTTGGGCAGGCTGTCTTAGACCTCAGCAAACACTTCATGAATGAGTTCTGGTACAACCAAATTAAAGCAAAATATAACCAAAAAACTTAACTACTCTCCACTAATACTATTAGTTTATTGTTTGAAGTACAGACTAAAGATATCTACGATATGAAATTAAGATTGTTATGGCTTTAGAAATTTCATTTGGAAATTTAAGGACGAATATAATGGCTGCTTTGTTTATGAATATGTTGGTTTACGACCTAAAATGTATTCTGTTCTTGAAGATAAATTAATTAACAAAATGAAAGCAAAAGGAGTTTGTTGAACTGTTGTTAAGAAACATTTTTTTTTTTTTTTTTTAAGCAAAGAGTTTTGTCATATATTAAAATTTACAATGAAA